TCCTTCCTTCCTTCCTTCCTTCCTTCCTTCCTTCCTTCCTTCCTTCCTGTAAGGTTATTTCTTCATATTAGTTTTTGTTCAGTTTTATCTTTTCATTAAAACTTAAAAAAACATTTATATAAAAGAGACAAATTCTCTTGTTTCCAAGCGGAATTTAATATATATCATTTGTGTCAATTTATGCCATTTTCTTAATACAATTTGACACAAGAGATTTATAATGGCAATTATGTATTTATACAAATGATGCCATTTGGAATTTAATTTCATTGTTAACAGACACTCTTTGCCCCAAATAGTCCTTTAAATAGAAGCTATATTATATATTAAAATGGATAATAAGAAAGTGAGAAAAATAATATAGTGCTGGGACAAGAAATAGAATTCAGGTTTTTTCCTTTCCCCCCCAGCCAATTTTCATTTTTTTAAAATAAAGTTTTTGGTGCCCACAATGTCAGGATTCATGGCACCTGCTTGGAGACATTCCTACAGTTTTCTTGGCAAGATTTCAGAAGTGATTTGCCATTACCTTCTTCTGAGGGTTGAGAAAGAATGACTGGTCCCAATCATCTGTTGGCTTCATGCTTAAGGCAGGAATAGGACTTGTTGTCTCCTGGTTTCTCTCTAGCTCTCTTCAATTAACTTACAGAATATTGTTTGGATTTTTTAAATTTATTTTACAGGAAAAGGGAAATCAAAGATTTCAGAAGTTATGTTGAGTTTTAGCTTGGATTCTATATTGTGACATTTACCTTAATTCAACCTATCACATAACAAAATGCATCTCATTTAGAGTAAGCTGTCATTAAACAACAATGTTTAACTTCTTTCCTTTAGTTCAAAAATCCGAGACTGAACTCATATTCTACAAAAGAAGGAGTCATTAGTTAGCTAGCAGAGTTACCAAAGGTGATTTAAGGAAATGTTACACTTAAATAAGAAGACAAAGGTCACACGCAAGAGATACTTGAGCTTGTAATACGTTTATCATTTTGCACACGTCTCCTAATCGCATACAGTGGAAATCCATAGGGAGTTGATAAGTATGTATCTGTGAATTATTACTTTAGCAGAGCACTATTATATTTTAGTTTTTAGCATTTTTAAAGAGTCTGTAATAGTTATGAGAGATGAAGAATCCTGAATTAAGTACTGTTGCTATACACAGAAGGATAATTTCATTTTGATAAATTGCCTCGTGCATGTTAACTAATAACACAAAAAAATTAAGTAGCATCTTATCAGTATAAAGAAGTGGTAGCACCATTATTAATTTCTAAACCATAGGCATCTCACACAGGATTATGGTAAAGGTCAGACTATGTTTCGTTGAATTAAAAGCTATTCTGAGCTATAGCATTCCTAATCAACTCAGACCAAAAGGTGCATAGATCAGTTATAATGAGGCATCGTGAATTTAAATAAACTACATGGTTCTGTATAGTGATTTATAAATGCACTGTGGTATCCTTTTAACTCATTAGCTGTGAAAGATATTACTCTATGTATTATCCCCTATTTTTTGTGGTGTAACTATTTTTAATCACAGCATTTCTTCAAGAATGTAGCTTCTGCTATTTTTTTAAATTATACTTGGATTTAAAATATGAGCAATACACCCTGCATGCCCTTTCAGAACTTGCCTTTAATCTGATTTATTTCTTTTGAGGTTAACATTACTAAAATGGAACATTTGAAAGCTACTGAAGTAGTTTGTCAATTAATTTTCAAAAATCATTCTGTGGTATAGCTTGATTAAGGCATATATATATGAACATATTTTATTTTTCCACAGAAAATTCCAAAAGACCTAGGTTGGCTTTGAACTGCACACATATAAAAGATTAAGCTCCTCATACTTTCTGCTCCATAGAACAACCTTCCCAGCTGGACTCTTCTAATATGCTGACTACAGGTTCATCCTCATGTTCTCCCTGATCATAACATTAACATGTCATTATGACAATTTTTTGTCATGATATTGCCTGTTTCTTATGCCCAGTTCATACCTGAGGCAATGTGAAATTGCCTTTGACTCTTCCAGCCTTTGGATACTTGGCAAGGATGGCTGTGAAAGTTGGACTATAAGGAAGGCTGACCGACAAATAATTGATAATTTTGGATTGTGGTGCTGTGGAAAAAATTATTTCCTTGGACTTCAAAGAGATAAAATCAGTCAGTCCTAAAGGAAATTAATCCTGAGTGTTCTTTGGGAAAAGAGATATTGAAGTGGAAGCTCAAAAACTCAATGAGAAGAGAGGACTCATTGGAAAGATCCTGATGTTGCAAATGATTGACAGCAAAAGGAGAAGGGAATGGCAGAGGACGAGAGTAGTTAGATAGTGTATTGATGCAATTAACATGAATGTGGGCAAACTCTGGGAGGCAGGACATAAGAGCTGTGGTCCATGGGGTCACAAAGAGTTGGACATAATTTAGCATTAATTTCCATTTTTATTGACCATTTTAGACTACTAAAGCCCTGCTCCTTCTCTCATCATCACTGTTCTGCATGAATAATTGGATTGGGCTGCAGGGCAGATCATACACTTGGCTTCCATTGTGGCATCAATCTTTGTAATATCTGACAGGCTTTTTCAGAAGTACTTCTCAGATCTTGCTCAGGCTCATTATAAATATGAGTTGAGTCCTCCTTTGAAGTTGTTTTTAACCAGGAAAGAGAATACACCACTAGTCCCAATAGAAACAGTTTGAAAAGGCTGTTTGATTAAATTCTGAAGGAAGCAGGAAATGATGAATTTTCTGAAAATTGCAGTCATCCCAGGAAAAACTATGAGGCAAAAATGTCTGAGCTATCAAGAAGAGCAGGGAGATTTGAGCTGGAACCCACACTCCAGTTTATTTTCATGTGTGGCAAATGATAAGGGATTTCAGGAGAGAGAGGAAGTTGCCTAGTGAATTTCAGTTGTACTGAAATTCTCTTCTCTTCTCTTCTCTTCTCTTCTCTTCTCTTCTCTTCTCTTCTCTTCTCTCACCACAATCTTGGTAACATTTGCAGATCAGATATTATGGAGAGATGCAAAGTCCTTTTCTTCCCTTCCTATCATCTAATTCAGCAAATCTTAATTTGCAGAATGTTTCAATCTGTTATCAGTTTGCTATGGCTGTTATATTGTTAGCTATTTGTAAATTTGTTAAATTTTGATACTGCACTCTAAAATTCAGTAGTGGTTCTGTTCTCTGTTAGAAATCTTAACCCTGCAAAGTTGAACTGACCCAAGGTCACTTTGAGATTTACAGTAAAATGGAGATTTGAAGCAAGTTCCTCTGGTTCTACTTGGGTGCTTTAACCTCCATTCTGTTCTATTCTTAAGGGAATTATTAACACTGAGATTAAATTTTATAGAACTAAATGCTGGCCTTTTCTTGATAGTACTGCATCCTTCATGGGAACTAGGGGAATTATCTTCTCAAACCTCTCAAGAATTCCTTTGGGTAGGCCTTAGATCTAATTTTGACAACTGTAGCAGATACAGGAAATTATTTCTTTGCAACTTTCCTGATAGAAACACTTCTTTCATGAGAAGACCAGTAAATTATACCATGTGAAAGTTTACCCAGTTCTCACATTAGTTTCAAAAGTTTCAGAGGCACTGCATGGTCCTTTCTCACCACTTCTGGAAGGTTGAGGGCGCGGTGAAAGCACACACTCTATTTTCGCATAGCTGTTGCAGCCTCCAAAAATCACATGAGAATCAGACATGCTTTCAAGAATAGTTATTGTCAGGAGTTGGTTAAATGCTGGCATATCAATCAAAATGTTGTGGTGTGTCATATTTGATGCACATGTCACAAATTCGCCACTACTGCTTTGGGTGCTGAGATAACTGGCATCAAAATGACCCACTTTCCATCTTTCTCCCTCTGCTGCTACTGTTATGTATTCATATACTCAACAAATTGGTTAGTGCGGCATCTTTACACCTTAGTAAGCAAGACATGTGGATGAACCCTTAACATCCTAAATTGAATTTTGTCCATATGAACTGTTTTTTCTCCCCAATACTGTGGGAAATCTAATCAGTGTAATTGTGTCATCAAGACCTGAATCCATTGTATAGTTAATTATTCTAATATGTGTCAACTTTATGCTTTCTTTTTTCCTTTTGTTTTCTTTTTCTTTCTATTATAGATTAAAAGCAATGAAGCAATTAGATACATAGTTAAATAAATAAATAAATAAATAAATAAATAAATAAATAAATATGTGCAGTATATACACTTCACTTAGAGGGAAACAAAAGAAAGAATGTTTGCAACTGTCTATAATTTCAATCTGTGTTATTCATGACCAAAGAGATTCCAGAACAGTAGGTTAAAATAATGTTAGGAAAAGAAATGTTCTTCAGCATACCAACATTAGAAACAATTATTTTTTTTAAAAAAAGTAAAATGTTTAAAATATACACTGTAAATATAGCTCTGCAAAACATTCCGTTCCTTAGGCTTACAGTAATATCCAAGCAATAATACTAAGCAACTACTGGTAGTCGTTTACTTACAACCACAATGGAGTCCAAAATTTCCATTGCTAAGTGAGACAGTTATTAAGTAAGTTTTGTCCCATTTTACAACCTTTTTTGCTACAGTTGTTATGTGAATCACTTTAGTTAAGATAGTAACACAGTTGTTAAGTGAATCCCAATTCACTTTGCTTGCCAGAAGGTTGCAAAAGGTAGTCACCTGATATCAGGACACTGCAACTGTCATAAATATGAAGCAATTGCCAAGCATACAAATTTTGATTATGTGACTGTGGGGATGCTGCAACAGTCATAAGAGTGAAAACAGTCACAAGTCACTTTCAGTGCCATTGTAACTTTGAACGGTCAGTAAATGAACTGTTGTATCTCCTGTATATGGTTTATTTGGTTGGTTATTAGGGTGATCTGTACACATTCTTTCACCCCAATTTTTTTTTAGCTGAATTATGTTCCTGCAAAGCTAAATCTGCCTAAAATTATTTAAAATCATTCCAGGTCTGCTGCACTGTGTCTGTAAAGCATCTTTATGGAAAACCACAAGGCTTCTGAAGCAGATGCATAATAGAAATTTACTATCAAGTCATCTGAGTGTAATGTAAGTAGCATATCATATATTCTCACAAATTGTCTTATGAAAGGGAAAATTGCAATAGAAAGTGAGCTCTCTAGGAAGAAACTTTACAAATATATTAATCCTGCCTGCTATATAAGTCTCTTCTGGATGAAAAATGAATGAACATGTACATTAAAGCAAATACTAAGAATGATCACGTTCAGTTCCACTTTGAAAATGTATTTATTTTAGAATATGATAGCTGGCCTTAGCTATCTGCTGTGTGTATTTGGAAAGTCCTTTTACCACTGAATTATAGATCCTCAAGCTATATGAAAAACTAGCTCAAATTCTCAGGTGTTCTTCAAATATCATCAGTTGTCTCTTGGTTACATACAATTTTAGAATCCCAAGTTTGTATTCGGAAAGAAAATATTTGGAAAAAAATATTTAACTCTATGGCAAATGCTGAGCCTGCATATGCATGAGTTAAAAATATGGTGATATGAAGGCACATGCAAATCCTTTGTGTCTATATGCCTAGTTTCTCTGAGATCTTCATATATTAAGTCCTGGAGTTTATAGATAAATGTAAGCATGAGCAGCTGAATGAATTTAGAAATGATTCTGAAGGCCCTTTATTAAGACAATATTCCAGCAAAGGGAGATCTATAAGTGCATTGAGCTGTAGACATTTACAGTACAATCCATATTTATTTTGGAGTTTAGCTATGAAGATCTGCATAGATACTGTACTTTATATCCATGGAATCTTAAGTTGGGACTTTCTGCATGCTGTCACCCTAGTTACTCTCCTTTCCTTATGTATAACTTATACAGTATAAGATGTATGGTAATGGCTCAGTACTATTCTGAGTGCCTTCAATTGTGCAATTCTATCTCTCATTGGTGTCCGATTTTTATTCATAATATTTTGCCACACTGAAGAACAACATTGACCTCTGCTCATAGTAGGCTTTTGGAATATCAATAGTTTCATATGCAGTGTAAAATTATGCACAGTTGGTCTTTATCATCTATTTTGTCAAGGAGGACATTTGTATGCTTCTCTGGATATAAAAACAGTCTTCTTTCATATTACCATTCTATCACAATACAGGCATTTTCATAGTTTGCAGTTGGCACCAGCATTATTAGTTAATGTATCCCCTTTTGGTATAGCTACTGCTATAGCAATCTTTATTGACAGTCTGGCCACACTTACTCCTTTCCTGTTATCAAGCCTGCAAAATCTGTGCCAGACAAACAAATGTTGTTCTGTGAAATTAAGATCATTCTCTTGACGTTACGGTTCCTAGGACATTTGGTCAACTTGGAGAAGCCTTTAACATGCTGTTTCTATCCTATTCATCAGGGAGGCCCTTCAATTTTGTCTCTGCAATGGCTTATTTTCCATGGGATTTCATGGTTGCCTTTTTTCAGCAAATTGGTTTGGGATGATCATTGTTTTTTTGCTATGATTAGTTATAACTTATTAGGTTATATATGAAATTGTTCCTTCCATAGTAGCACAGCTGGGTTTTCAATAATTATTGGTTATTAGTTTCCTGTGTATCCCTTTCACCCTACCATCATACACTCATCATTCCCCTTTAGTCAGAAACAGGGAAAAGGAATTTCTGGATGTTGTATGTCAGGGATGACCATAGGGGACAGGTTGGTCAATGACAACTACAGTTTCATGTTGTAAAATTCAAATGTACTGCTTGCATGAAAGGGTACTGCTTGCAGCTGGCGTCACAATGAGACAATATTGCTTTCGTCAGATCCTATGGATGCCACTGCACAATCCCACCTTCATTGCTCAGGGAGACTTCTCTATGTATGAATCTGATGTGTTGTATTTCAAAATGCCCTCTTATTTGGTCAGGTGATCTTTAATAGCTCCTAGAACAGGCATGTCAAACCCGCAACGTCACGTGATGTCACGCGACATATCGGAGCTTTTTCGCCATTGCCGGCAATGGGGTGGGCGCAGCTCTGGTATGATGAAACCAGCCCACGGGCTGGCAGTTTGACACTCCTGTCCTAGAAAGTTTGAACTGACTTTAGTCCTTGGAATATTTTGAATTTATGGCCATTCTTTCCTTCTGTAGTGTGGCCATGTTGAGGAATCTATGAATTTTTATTTCTTTTTAAATCAAAATTCACCATTATGTCCATATTCTACACAGAAGTTAATTTTAACTTTGATTTATTGAAACAAATCAACTTTATAAGCCCAGCTTTGAATGTTACTTACACTAGTAAAAATATCAGCAAGTGTTAATCACAGTTATCCAATATATATCTTATATCTTCTTCTGAGCTCTGTTACAGAAGTGGGCAAGGGTCGGACCTGGGAACTTCAGACCCAGTTAAATTAATTTTTGTTAGGCTCACAGACATCCTGTGTTGAAATACTTGCTTTAAATTACCTCAAGTCATGCTTCATATTTGTTCTTCCCAAAGAATGTAATTTTAAGAGAAGTTCTGATATTACAATATAGATTTATATAATACCTTTTAAAGCAAATTAATTTTATTCATATGTCCCAGGGTAATGCACAGATTATTCCATTCCATAGTATTTGAACAAATGTTTACCAGAAGGAGCAGCCAGTTATCTACCCCAATGCTGTTTGGGGCCACAAAGTGGTACAGACCATTTCTGAAAAATAAACTTAACGTCTGCCTTTCTGAAGAGCCAGGAGTGTCAGTAAGCAGAATTACTGCTACTAATAACAAAGAACTTTCTTGTAATTCTCACTTGTCATGATTACAAAATAGGATTTCAAAAATTTCCCAACATCCTTGGGGTGTCATGTTTAAAAGGAGGCTGCCCTTCCAGTTCTGAAGTCCATCTTTTGATTTTTTTTCGTCTTCCAGATATAGAATATACATGATTTGACTGTTTCAAAATGGACAGATCTATTAATGTGAAAATGTTCAAAAAAGATAAAATAAAGAGGAACACATTATTTAGGTGTGTACAATGTTAACATTACTTAACAGCATAGCAATCTAAATTAAACTAAATTAATATATTTAATACCAAAGAGTAACAATTATACATTGGTATGCCTTCTTTTTGGAATTCCAAACCACACTTAAGAACATTATGAAATACATTGTGTCTTATTCTTCTGTTCTGAAGAGGACGGAGTGGAAAAATAATTTCACGCTGCATATAATCCATTTGGTATGAAAGAAACTTGAAAATTATTTAGTTACAGATTCTCTGACCAGACTTGAAAAATAGCATACATTATGTTAATAGGCAACTATTTGAAAATGAACTTGAATATTAAACACAGGAAGTTTGAGTTCTAACATGACAGTAGGTATTAATAGACTGTCAAGAAAATAGGTTTGCTTTAAGAGTTTTAGTTCTCTTAATTACTTACTAAATTACTATCACCTTTTTCTCCTTTTTAAGTTACTTTCTCAATTATTATCAACTACAAGTGCAGTTCAGTTAAAGTACAATGTTTAGATTTAACACCATTTAGTAACCTAGAAGTCAATGAGATTAAATAGGCTTATATCTACTGTAGAAAAAAACTGTGCATCATCTGGATAATGAACACAAAGAAATGTAAAAACATAATTTATATACTACTAAAACTTTTTGTAACTTTCATTTGGGCAAAATTGGAAGATGTAAGTCAACAGATATTGAACCAAGGTAACTCAAATGGGCTAACTTACAGAATGCCAGGATCCATGACTCCCATGTGAATGAAATTTGGGGATGTTGTGGCCCTTTCAGCACTACTGCTGCTTCAGTGTCATATGATCTTCATTTCCCATGCTCCCTGATAGCTTCCAAGAAATCAATGGGGAATCTGGCAGAAAGTTGATCAGGATTGCCAACACTCCTTGCAACCTTTCCAGTAGCAAAGTCTTAGTTTATGGGAAGCTTGAAGAGAGAAAGTCAATAGGGAAGCCAGCAAGGAAACTCACAGGATACTTGGGCAAGTTCCCCTATTCACATACCCTCCCTTAGTCACTCTGTGCTCACACCATGCTGGCCATTCATGCAACCATTTGCTCCTAACCCACTCATAGTAGCCATTTATCTGCCTGCTGACTTTGGCTTTGCATGTTCCTACCAGCTTTGTGATCCTAATTTAAGCAAATGGGAAAGGTGTAAGAGAAAGGAGGGAGAGAGGGAGAGAGGGAGAGAGGAAGGATTTCTGATGTTCCCTACCAGCTTCCCACAAAGAAACTGATAGGAAGTCGGAAGTCGCTCCTCTCCCACTGTTTTTTTTTTTTTTTGCCTATCCAAGGTAATTCTGTTTTTTTTTTGTTTAAATAAGATAATAATATAGATATATGGATATAATAGAATTATGGGATTACAATATAATAATATTTTTCAGAATGGGTGGGTAGAAAGGAATCTTAAGTAACAAAAGGAAGTCAAAAAGGTTATGTAATTATGTACTTCTTTAGTTTAAGAAATCATTTTGTTGAACCTTCTGCAAAACTTCCCTACAATATCAGCATGAGAAGAATAGCATATTTTAACTATGTTTAACATCCTTTTCTTGTCTGCCATTTTAGTTGTTGCCTTGTACAGTGACCATTCACAGTTACATCAGTGATGAAAATATAACTTTGCAACAAATTGTTCCACTTACAACCTTTGCAGGTCTGTAAAGTGAAGGAAAGCTGAAATAGGATCATAAGACAGATGGTTTCACTTAATGATATGTCAGGTATGCCATCATAAATAGTATCATTGAACTAGGAAATTCTAGGAAAGAAGCCAAAGAGTCTAGGATTCACGTGATAATCTCATCCACCTTTCCAGGCCATGGAAGACAATCAAAGGGAAATAATATAGTAACTGAATTATTATATAAATGCTATCAACAGGAAATGATTGGAACAAAATATGTTAAATCTGCTAATATTTTCTTTGATAGGGCAAGCTAGATCAGAGGGCTTTAAATGAAAAGTTTCCAGAAAATGGCCAAATTGTAGTAATCGTGCTGTTACACAGTGATGGACCTCAATATGCTTGGTTTCTATTG